GGCTTGGTGAGCTCTTCTGCCAGCTCCCTCAAGGACCTTGGAGTGAATCCCATCTGGCCCCATAGACTTGTGTATATCTAAGTGGTGTAGCAGCTCACTAACCACCTCTTCATGGATTATGGGGGCTTCACTGTGCTCTCCATCCCTGTCCCTCGACTCAGGGGACTGGATACCCAGAATATTGCTGGTTTTCCTACTAAAGACTGAGGCAAAGAAGGCATTAAGTACCTCAGCCTTTTCCTCATCCCCAGTTACTATTCTTCCCCCTACGTCTACTAGAGGGGGGAGACTCTCCTTAGTTCTCTTTTTATTGCCAATGTATTTATAGAAACCCTTTTTATTGTCTTTAACAATACTAGCTAGATTGAGTTCCAGCTGCACTTTAGCCCTTCTAATTTTCTCCCTGCACAGCCTCACAGCAGCCCTGTACTCCACCTGTGATGCCTTTATGGAGTTTTGTTCTTGCAAAGTATGACAGTGGAAGTGATGTGAAATAACGGTTCAAAAGAACAAGACATTCACTTGGCATGTAAACCTCACACTGGTTTTCTATACTTCACAGAAATTGGCCTCTCTTGTAACTAATGCAAGCTCTTTAAATTCCTGTTACTTTAGCAAATAGAAGTACACTTATTTTAAAAGGCAGAAGATTAAAATACCAAATTACAGTTCAGGAATACGATAATTAATTCAGTAAAGTGACCAAAATAAGGTTTACAAAAGCGAAGCTTAAAATGATCACTGCAACTATCCTAAGAGACTGAAGATACGTAAGAAAAGATATAACAGAAAATCCAACCCACTCCTAAGAGGTTTATACGTGCACGTTGTACTTTCGTCACAAGATATGGGTCCCAGCCCACACATTGGAATAAGTAAGTTTGTAAACAAAGATAAAAACATGGCTGTGCCATTTCTGCTGCCACGGCAAGTTAGGACCTGTGTGTGTATTTTGCATCACGAAACACAGCAAAGCAGGCACAGCCCTCAGAACAACAGTGTTAAAGAGTTGAACACTGAGGGTGAATAGGAGCCTGCACTGAGCTGATTACTTCAATAAGACATCTCAATGTAGCTGATTTTTTTTCCTCAAAGTATTTTTGGACAGCAAATTACTTTTTGCTTACAGCTGCAGTAAACTCTTCACCTGTGTATAAGCTAACTTGCTTTTAAACCCTGCAGCATTCCAGCTGGCGTTCACTGCGTTCAGATAACCTAACAACAGCCACGCATTCAAGCCCTGAGCATTTGCAAGTGTAATCGACACCCAAAATCCACTAACAAAAAACCCTACACACCAAAACTCAAACCCGAACTCAAGAAAGTCCTTACTGGAAATTAGATGGTGTTCCAATATCTGCCTTTGTCAATCTTCTCTTTTTAGTTTTTCCTTTCTTCTTTTCTTTGGTATATGAAATATTGTTGACTTGTGGAGTATAAAATCTGTTAGTTGTAATTTCTGGGTTTTTGATATCAACAGTTGCCATTGGTAGACTTGGGCCTGTGAAGGTAAAATAAAGGATTTTTACTACTGTGTTTCAACAAAGCCATATTTAACCTACAAACGAAGTGGTAAAACACTTGTACTGCAGCCATAGCTCTACTTGCTGCATGCATCCATCTGGCTTCTGGATATTCGACGCATAGACTAAGCTATTTGGTGAAGAAAAAAGATTGTTGCTAGAGCAGAGCAATGGCAGAAAAAATTTCTAAACTAGAATTCACTTTCTTTGCAAACTGGGCAAAGAAAGTAATTTTAAACTGAAGAGTTTTCCTGTGCACAGAACACAAGGAATGAGACACATTAAGCAACAATAGCTACAATCCGAACTAAGGTCAAAGGAGTGAGTGCCATAAGCAGTGACACCCAGCATGCCATTGCCTGGGCAGCACAGTAAACTGATCTTAAAAAAGAAGGAACCTTGGCTTAATAAGCCCCATGGGAATGCTTTCTGCCACAGCACACAGAACCTGAACATCACAGGAACATCGGAAGGCTGCGCTGGACACACCAGTGTCTTCAATTATAGGACATCATCTATATAACTATTCATGATTTCTTACTCTTAGACAGTTTTGCAAAGTATTTGAAGTCCCAAGTAAGAAACAGAGCTTGAAGAGTAGCGACAGTGAAAACAGCATCAGAAATACAAATTCAGCACTCAAATTCTGAATTATGTTCTCAAATATCTGTTCTTCATTATAAGCAATTCTGAATTATTACTCCAGTTATTTAAAATGCATCTGAACCACACTCCTGCCAATTTCAGGATTATGTTACTTGCATAATACTGGCAAATAAACATACCTAGTATGTTTTCCACTCAGGCTTTTTAGCTTTGACAGAAGATAACTCCTGACATAAGCAAGTGATGATAGTATTTAAATATTAAGAGACAATTAATGCATTTTCATTCATCTCTCTCTCTATGTATACACAGACACATATTTTTAAAGAAATCTGCAAAAAGGATAAATAATTTCAGTTTTGAAAGAATGAGATTAAGCAGGCAATTTAAGACCAATTTGGCCAGAAATAGTTTGAAAACATCCTTTACTTCCTTGTGAGTTACTACCCAATGGTTAGAAATAAATTAAAATAAGACTTATGCATCCAGTCTTACTGACCAGATGATCAAAAATGTCTAATTAGACTTTCAGAAAACTGAACCTCATTTTGACACAAAACTGAATTTTGTATGGATCATTCAAAGTTCTCCTAAGCACTCTGAGAGGACCAACAAGCCGAAAGCTTCGCAGTCCAAAGTCCAAATCAGAAAGGCGACGCAGACAATACAATGGATAACATAGGCGACATCTGTAGTTTAACACCTCAGTTAGAAGAAGAAACAGGAACAGAAAGATGACTGGGCTAGACAAAACTCATCTAAAAACATGACAACTCCAACCTTCCTGTACGACTCTTAAAGGACAAGAATTAAATCTGCAGGAAGAATTTCTAAAGTGTTTTCCGCCAAGCAGAAATGCTTTGATCTAGAAATGCTAAGAGGCTACACAACTGTCCTTTGAGAATACCAAAGCACAAATTGTCCACATATGACTCTGCAAAACCATTTGTACTGTTAAAATTCCATTTAAAGTTACAATTAAATTCACTAATCAAATATTATCAATCCAAAACTTAACAAGTAGAGTAAAGTAAAATCTTCAGGATTACTTGAAAATTACAGTCCTAATTTCAGTAGCTATAAAACCAAAACCACTATAGGAGTTCATTTTCACTTTAATCACCTATTATATTTTCTCTATTATCTTCTCTCTATTTTCACTTATTACATTGATACTAACAATTTCAAGAGCTGCACTGACATTCAAAAAGAAACACGTACATTTGCAATGCTAGAAAGTTTGTGATATTCTTCTCACAATTCATAACAGACATTGAAAATGCACCTTTCTGCATGTAGAATCTGAACCAACCATACAGGGTTGTACCTATGTAAACAGCTGCCATTTGCAAACTGCAGTTTTATTCAGCTGTGCTCAAATTAAGGATTGATAGCCTGATTCCTTGCTACTAATAATATTCACACAAGAGATCACAGTAACGTCTTAAAGATGAAAATTTTTCTTACCGTCATGTTTAGACCTCAGATGTCCACGAGGGATAAAAGAACCTTGGAAAGAATTGTACTCTTCTAGCACTGCCATATTTATATCCAGTAAAATTTTTCCCATCATAAGACATGCACTTTCCCCATCAGGTGTAGACAGCTCAATAAACGAAGACGCGAGAGGCATATAGAGCTCATCGTTAGGAAGCACCTGACAGTAGAGTGGCTTTAAGCATCCACTGCTATCAATATCTGTGACATCTTCAGAAGGGGCTCCATAAAATGTAGTACAGAACATTCTGAAGTGTTAATTCTAGGAAATTCTCTGTATTTTATGTAGAAATACTCTAGGCATCTGTCCCAGACTACACACAGTTCTAACATAAATGCAAACTGTTCTAATTTGCAGCTGAAACAAAATTCTGCCACATGGTTCTAAAAGATTCCCTCAAAAACTAATTCTCCGACAAATCCTTATTTCATCCAGAACTTCACTAAGAGGTCAGTTCAACTACAGTAACTCTTCTTTATTTGCATAAAGAGACCAAGCTATTACAGATGAGCAGAACATAAATCTCAGGAAATTACATACTAATACATTTTACATAACTGTTAATGCCAATTTTATTTTAATCCTGCAATTCTAACAAAAAAAAAATCTTAAATCCGTACCATTAAAAACGTCATACGAAAAGACAGAGTGCTTTTTCCATGCAGCTTCAGCGTATGCAGAAAATCCAGACAAACAAGCCCCGCTAAAACAAAATTCCCCACAGCATTTTAAGCACGGATCACGTGAGCACAAAAATGTGACTGTTCTTGTTTTTCAGTTTTAAAGGTAATTACGCATTGATATTCAGTACAAATAAAGCAGGCATTCCTAATAGAATTTCACTACATATGAAGAGTAAACCAAAAAATAGCTGCTATTAAAACAGTTTTCTCCAGTTTCATGCTGACAGTATACATTTGCTCCAGCCTGAATGCCAAATGCTGAAATGCAGAGGCTATGACCTATGCCCTGAGTGTCTCACCTGTGACTCCAGAGGGCACGAACACACCTACCTCTTCACCAGCAGAGAAGCCAGGCACTACAGCATTTGACAGAATCAGAGAAGGAAGATGGACAGGTTGTGAAAGAGTACAAGGACTCCTAGTGAAAAAAATTACTGAAAAGCAGAGATGCTCAGATTGACTAGTGACTATAAACCTGAAATACTGAGTATAAACTTATATAAACTTATATACTGAGTATATTCAAGATAAAGGCACAAGATCAATGAACGCAAGTTTAGTATGCAATGATTTTCTCAAAAAATGTTGTTGCCTGAGGTCTTATAGGTTTAATTATGAGAGCATCTTAAGCACAGAAGTTTTTGCAGATTTAGTTTTCTTAGATCTTATTCCAATCACAGATAGCAAACTAGACAAACAAACAGTTTGGGTTATTATTGGTAACATTTACAGTAAAGGCAAAGGCTAAATTTTCTGTGGTAGGTGTCACCACAGTCATCACTGCTGTTTAATTCCAGACATTGCTGTCAGGGATGAGCTGTTTAGGTGAGCAGAAGCAAATGCTGCTCAAAAGGCAGAACAGTTAAAACCTTCTGAAAGCTCAGAAAAGCTGGTAAGGCTGCCATGGATGGTATTACTATGATTTAAAACAAAACCACCCAGTACCAGTTGAAGGAATCAATACTAAAAATGCCTGCTTCAAACTGATGATTGCCTGAACTTCCTCAAAACTTAATGTTTATGAAAAGTAGAGTAATTGAAAAGAGAGTAATTGTTTGAGAATTATTCCACATGAGGGAGGCTTTATTTGGATATAAAAAGATATCAGTAGATGCCATAATTCAGGATTAGTTGTTACCTATTTTGGTGACCTACTGAGATGCTTGGATCTCTTGGTTAGTACAAATTTAAGACTTCCTCCTCAGGTCATAAGGGGACCTCAGCTGATCAAATGACAATACCCTTGCTCAAGCAGCAAACTAACACATGCAGTGATATGACCTATGATCTGGATCACCAACAGAAATGTCACAGGAGAAATCACTTTTTAACTGCAGTGTGAATTCAAAACTATAAAGATTTCAAACTTGATACTCATTGATGTGCATTTTTCACTTAACAATAGATAGTATAATTTTTTTTATCACATTGATACATAGTTTTGACTCCTTCCATCAATTTAATGAGAGGATCTCCTGAGGAATGTGTATCTCCATACTGGTCAGATGTACTCCTGAGAGGCAAATAGACTCAAATAGCCCTACATGCAAAAAAAAGTTTAATATTGACAAACATATAACAGACGACTAAAAGGCTATGTTACACAGCTACATACACTGACATTGAAATTTTATGGATGTTTTATGAAGTCTGCCATCACTATGCCTGCCTTTAGACAGACAGGCTCACTTTTATTTTCAGCAAGGTTCTGTATAGTGATCCTATATACACATATTCTGAAGACAAAGCAACAAATGCAAGGTACACATTTTTCTTCTCAGTTGAAGCTGAAGAGCCTCTGTCCTATCTGCAACAAAACACACTTCTCCAAAAACCTTCTTCACAAATGCCAGCTAAGCCACAAATCGTTCAAGCTACAACTAAACAAATACCAACGAACAGAAACAAAACAAATATACTAACCTCCAGAATAAGAGCTTACTACTTTTGCCACCACAATACTGTCCTCAACAAGTCCAAAACAAAGCTATACATAAACAGTAAACGACAGAAGTAGGAAAAAACAAAATGCAGTGATTCATGCAAAAAAAGCTTACCATTTGGTGGGTCTCGTCTTTTTTCTGTTGAAAAAGAAAAAGAGCTATTTATTCATAGGTATCACAGGAAAATAAAATCATTCTGTGTTTCTAGTGAAACTTTCAATGACCTTGAACTCAAACTCAAGAATCTAGTAATATCCTTAAAGCCTGCTGTTTTGCAGTTGAAAGCAAGCATTACAGAACCACAAAACCCTCACCTTGGATAATAAGCACAGATTTCAAGTGAGCAAACTTAATAGGAGCAGAAGCACATGGCTCCTGAGTTTCAGACATTTTGACTCCAAAGTAAGGTGAAATATTAAAAAAACCAGCTGTTTCGGTACAACCTATCAAAGCAAGATTTCTGAAGTGTTACGCTTGCTGATTTCCACTGAATGAGACTGTTACTTCATTTTTATTTGAAATATAATTAGCAGTTTTATACAATATTGTTCTCTCTGCCTATAACAGTAAATTCTCCTTTAAAGGAGATTTTCCTCACTTCCTATTAATTCTAATCCACTACATTTACCCACCCTGCAACCCACCACAAATAACATTTACCTACCTTGCAACTGTCCTTCAAAACCCCCAGTACATTTACACTATTTGTGTACCTACACACACACGCTTAAAAATTCTAGAATTGCCCACATATTTGTCATCTCACCACATCAAAAACCAGGGCTCTACAAGGAAGGCTGTATATGTCTCCATGTCAGATCTGGAGTACTTGAAATTTAATGATGACTCCCAAGAGTTTTGTATTAAGAAATTGTAACAGACGTTTCACTTTTCAGCAAGTCCCAGAAAAACTGCTAACTTACTGTGTCTTTTTCCAGACACAAACATAAGGGGAAGGGAGAAGGTGCCTCCCCAGATGGTGTTGATCTTGTCCTAGCAATACTTTTAAAAATCTACAATGTTAAGTGTGCAAGGCAAGTCAGCCTCGTATCAGTCAGGTGATCATCAGGTAAGAATTAAAAACTTGTCAAGGTCTTCAAACCATCAGAGGAAAGTGACCAAAACCCCTTGAGAATCAGCTCTGGCTGAGCAAGCCTCATGAAGACAGACAGTTACTTCAGCTCACAGTGGGATAGTTTTAGACACAGAGGTGGAAAACCTCTGCAAGGGTGCCTCAGCAAAAGGTATCAGATCTGAGGGGAGAAAATAAGGCTTTTTGGCCAAATACTGTGCTTTCTCTTTCTAGAATATTCCGTTTAATAAGCCACTGATTTTGTACTGACAAAAAAACAACCAACCAACCACAACAAATAAAAAAAACCTACCAAACAAATAAAAAAACCCCAAACCCAAACTCAACTTCTAGAACATAATTAGAATTTTATTCAGCAATGTGGATGCAGCAAAGGAGAGTGCAGGACTGACTGTAAGTCATTTGGGACAGGATGGGAAGCTGGCAAATCCACGAGGTATTCACAGGAAGTGTTAACTGGCCTTGGGCCAAATTGTGGAAATCCATTACAATCTTCATTAGAAGAAAGAGTTCAAGTGAAAAGATAGTGGAAAACAAAGCAAGATATTTTAAACACTTCCTGTAATTTTTGCTGCGTACAGAAAAGTTTAATTTGTGGCCCAGAAATACCAGATCTGTTTTTCTGCGGTTCCCACTGCTGACTAGGAAATATGAACTCTGTTCTGAAGTGCAGATGACCTTTTTGAATACAATGGCAAATTTCTCCTTTTTTGAAGATGGAGATGCCCAGTGATTCAAAACAGATCAACCTCACCAGCTGCCTTTGTCCAAAAAAACACAGCTCCCTTCAATGAGAATTCCTGGAAGCAAAAATAATCTCTGCCGAGACTTGAATACAATGCAAGCTGAGCACTTCAGAGATGCCCTTGTCTCCCAGGCAGTAAAACCAAAAACTGTGATCAAAGACAAAAAAATAAATATGCTCTCCACATTAAGTTACCAGCTTGAAGCTTATGAATACATTATTAAGGGCATCAGGAGCTAAAAGCTTGTAGAGGAAAAAGGCAGCTTCAGAGAGGGCTAACGGAGCTCCCACCTATGAGCTACAAGGGGTCCATAAAAAACAGCCAAGAAGCCGCCTCCTTCACACAGGCAGCTAAGAACAAGGCTCTGCTCTGCAAGTCTCTGCTGCCCTTTAAAGGCCGAGTGCTCAGCATGTGGAGAGGACACCCGTGTGTGAACTTACATTAACCTTTCTGAGGCAAGATAATAAAAATAAAAACTAATGCTACCTATATGCAAGAATACCCAAAGTGAGAATGCACTACACTGACAAGCACTGAGAGTACTGTGTTCACTCTGCTTAAGGGGGAAACTATTTGGGATCCATTTAAGAAGTAAATAGGGAGACTATTTAAGTAATAAGAAATACCAGAGAAATTATCTAATTAAAGTAATTTATTCCTAACCTAAGCTTAAGAATTTAATTGACTTAAAAAAAAATTAAAAAATCAGAATTCAGCTAGATGAAAACCAGCCTGATATTAAAAAGATTAAGACAACACAACAATAATTCTTTCTCAGCCCTCGTCCCTCATTCTATTCACTATTAGATATTTCATACATTTACACGCTTTGGTACATTCTCTATTTGGATCCAAACTTTCACCTCTCTGGAACTCCAGATGCACCTACTCAGGAGCTGTCTGTATACTGGAGTGCATTTCACATCAAGTGAGGAAGATCAGAATACTGTTGACTCTTCTTGCAGCTGTTAGACAATATTTTGTGTAGTAGTCTCGGCACCTAGACACAGTTTCATGAGCCAGAACTGCCGTTCTTGCTACCTTCCAACAACATAAGCTTTCCATAAGACTCCTGGAAAAGTCTCCTAGCAAGCCCTGAATGCTATAACAGGCTGCTAAGTGATCGCATGGAGTGTTCATTTCAGTTGAAAGCATGTCAGGTGGCTTTGCTACAAAATGAAAAATATTTTGGAAGGCGTGGGAGTAAGAATCCCATTAAACAGAAAAGCATCAAAACTATCAGACTATTACCTCTGTTTGAGAGGTTAAGATGCATTAGAACACAGACAATTTATAGATATAAGTAATAAACAACTTTTATATATAATCTGTATTTTACATAAATCAATGTATAAATTAATATATGTATTATATAAGCATTTCTATATAAGTAAACACCAACAGCAAATCAGCTTTGACTTGGACAAGTGCAAAGCCTGTTATTTTAGAAGCACAATTAGATAAAGTCGCAGTGACAAACACAGAACTCCACCTGGTGGCTCGACTCAGGAAACTCCTGATTGATTGAAATTCTTCTTTTGCAGCTCTTCACAAGAAAAAACTTGAGAGTTCTTTTTTTGCTTTGTTTTATTTTTTTAATTGAAGTTGTCTTCAAGTTGTAAGTGTTTGGGGAGGGGAAGCTGTTTGCTTGTTAAAAGACAATGTATGGAGTAAGCTCATCCTACAATGTGAGTTTGAGCACACAAAATAAGATATTAACTCAAAGAGTAAACAAGAAAAACTTACGTAGTCCTGTGAAGAAAAGTTATGTGGAAGGAGAGAGGTGAACCTCTGCTCTGTGAACAGGTTTGACTGAACCACTATTTCCAACAAAGTTTGCTATGGTCAATAATGCAAACATATTTCCTCTCAAGTGCACTGTAGCACTGTGTTTTAGACTCATCATAGTTAGAGTGAAACTTCAGAAACAGGAGATGCAAGCTGATGCAAGATTACTTTTACACAAGTATGAGAAACATTATTAATGTCATTTCTTAATGACCTCACTTCTGTTCATGAAAACCTATGAACTTACTCTAATTCTGAGCAGAGGCAATCTTAAAGAAGCCATTTCAGTGAATACATCTAGATCATCATGTAGGTTCCCAAGGCTACTTGCAAGGATGGCACTCCAAGATAAGGACTTGACATTAGTCTACACTGCACTGCTAGTGCAATTCGATTCCAAAACGGACTACAAAAACGCATCCTGTAGCTTGGACACAAGTCCACGCTACAGTTTACAGCAAGCCTGAGCACATCCATGTGTTCCCAGCTTATGTTTTATGTCACCTTATTCTTCATGGACATATGGCTGTCAGACAGGCAAGTTGTTTATGGGCTCCCTGGAAAAGCACCAAGACAAGATCTGTAGGAAGCCCAAGCTCCCTTGAAAACACTGACCATGTTCCTAAGGCATCCTGCAGCTGGCAAAAAGCACGCTGTGCTTCAGACTCTCCTGTGCTGCGACAGACAGGACAGGCACATCGTGTCTTCTGATCTCCGCCAAGATCGCTAGTTTTAAATAAAAGATACTTCTCTATGAAACGCTGGACCAATGCCAAAAATGCATTCACATGAACTACTGAACATACCAGATGGTAAAATCTCTGCTACAACCCACTTGGGCTGAATTTAAACAAATCAGTTATAAACAGCCCAGAGCTAAAAGAGGGTTTAGTCAAATGTGAAAACAGCTTACAGAAAGACTGCTAGTTTTCCCAGTGACAGCTTACCATTTTTACTTCCTCCTGATCTGTATTTTCAAACACCACAACCTCGGAGTCTCAGCTAACAAGGGAACTTACAGCAAGGAGCATTAAGTTAAATTCCAGAAAAATATTAGTTTTGCACAATAGAGAAAAGAAGCATGCTTCAATAACACAATTACTTCTAAATACATATATATGACAGCAGTGTCTCCAGCTTTCAGATGTAGAGGTAACTTCCTGCCTCCCCCCAAGACAACATAAACAAGCCTCAATTTAAGATTAATTTGAATATTTACCAGATTTTCTCTGCCGTCGTCCAAGTAAATCTGTTACTGTTTTGCGGAATTGTTTAGCTTCTTCTTCATTAGCAAAATTAAGACCAACTTGACATGTCTGAAAAACATTAATATTCCCCCACCCAATGTTTCAAAGGCTTTCTTAAATGTCTTCTTATACCTTCTGAAGGTATAATCACAAAAAAGTCATAACTGTAAATTTGAAACTAAGTCTCAGTGAAACACTAACTTAGGAATGTCTGTCTACTCATCAAGTTTATAGAGACCAAGGCTAACACATTTGAGCAAAATCTTGTAGCTTGAAATCAAAGAGGGGAGAGGAAAATTTGTACTTCAAGAATATATGATACTTCACAAAAAACATCTGCATGTCAAAACAATTTCAATTAAAGGAAACTGAAAATAAAGAGTTGACTTTTATGCTTCTATCCTATGGATTCAGATTTCTAGTTGAGATCCAAAATAATCCTTTTATAAATAAGTTTAAAAAGCTTCAAGGAACACAATATTGTACTTTCGTAAGTAATTTACAGAATGAAATAAAAACCTCAGTTATATTAAAGAAGCTACTGTTTAAATAAAAGGCATTTTAAAATAGGTATTCAAAGACATTGAGACTCACATCTCCAGCAAAGGTATGAAAATATCCTCTAGGACTATTATATACAAAGTTATTGTACAGCTCCTGCTCCCACAATAATTTCCCATCCTGAAAAGAAAAAAAATAAAAAATTTTAAAAACTTGGGTGAATTTCAGAGCTCAAGTTCTTTCATAATAGAATCTATTAAGAGTTGGAGGCTGCATGGTGTTAAGCATCTACCTTGCTACTCATGCAATGAATGAGCTCACTCAAAAATCGTAGTATACTGCAAGTTATGGAAGAGGAAGACTATTCCATCAGGTCACTGTGTTCTGTTCCAATTCCTGGGTGTTTTCAAAAAACATCCTTCAAGTTCTACAATCCTGCAGTAGTGATACCAGAAGCAGCAATACTGACCAGTGATAGGAATACAGTAACAACAGCTATAACAACAAAGGAGACTTCCACCACTATGTTATTATTTCAGGCTTGACTCGAGAACAGTTAACTTCAAGGGAACAAAAAAATCTCACCTTTTTAAGAAGTTTTCTATATTTAAATGGCATTATAGTTCGGCACTCAAGGAACATGTTTCTTACTAAGTCTAATACTCAAGTGACCAAATCACAAAGTCAAATGCCAGCGTCAACTGGCAAGCCTGGACAAATCTGAGAGACTTCAAGCACTGAATGCTGACAGATAACGAGCTGCTCTGGGCTGCAGAGATAATGGGAAACTTTCCAAAGTCTCAGCCAAAGTCAGTAGGACTTAAGCTTCTCAGTATCATTTTTGTTATGAAAACACATCTTGAACACTTCAACTCATAGTTCCCACTGTCTTGAGTGAAATATTAGAATAGGCCAAATATCTTCAGTATGATTATTGTAGAAAAAAACCCCAAACTTGTTTGTCCTGCAGCTTTCACATGCACCAAACACTAACGAAAAAGATTGCTTCCACCTCTATAGAAGACAGCAACTAGTTTGTTATCATCATCCAAAGTAGTGACATCCACTAGAATTTTGACAGCTATCCGTATCAGTGACACTATACAAACTTTTAGTAATTTGACTAATCAGATCTGTAGAGGACAGCTTCTGTGAGCTGTAAGAAAATTGTATCCAATGTTTACTTCATATGTAAAAGCTGTCATCTATGAAATAATTTATATTTAGAATACCCAAAAAGTTGCACTTGCCTATAAATAAGCACTGTAATTGCACTGCTTAAAGCACAACAATTTACTTCAGAATTTCGATGAGTCTGTAGCTACGACAACCTACACTCATTCAATTCAGAACAGAGAATGAATACAACCAAGCTTAGAGTCTGAAGAAGAAAAAGAAAAAAATGTGCTTACCTTAATGTCAAATATTCTGATAAAATATGACCTCTGCGGATTGTCCTTTACAAGGCAAGCTACACCACAGCATTTCTTTGACCAGACGGCATTGCGATCTGCTGCATATATTTGAACAACTGCTGAGGACATCGTCTAAAATTAAAAGATAGCTATTACTTTTAAGGTAAAAATCATACATTCTACTTTTCATCTTTATGAAAGCATCTCTTAATTTTGTTCCTTCTTCTAGGCAGCAGCTTTGATGATTTCCCAGCTGGTATCACAGTAAAGTTCAAATGACCCCACATGACTTCTACGCTTTAGATTTTAATTCTACACAAGATTTATACAGCTTAAGAATCCAATTGAACTTTATTCTTACTCATAAAATCAGCAAAGAGATTTTGTCTGTAAAAGGCAAACAGTAACTAGGGTGGTCACACACAGAAGCCCTACTATGCAACTAAATTTCTCTCTGTTCAGTACTTCAAACTGGATAGAAATGCAGCACTCGGGCTAGAACTGTAAATTGCACAGTGCCTGGAAACACTCCCGGGTACTGGAACACAACTGGTCCACATTGCTTAATTTTTCAGATGGTCTCTGGCAGAATTTTAGCCTGCGCCCACTAGCAAACTCTTAAAATTCCTGGGCATGGTTTGAGAATTCACATGAGCTAGGCTCATTTCGATTGGCAACTGGAAATTGTGCTGTTGTCAAACTGAGAGATTTTAATAAGAGATGAAGATTATTCCACACCAGATTGCTTCAGTCACTGGGAATGTTCCTAAGCATATTTCCTAATATATATGTCACTTATGTCCTACCTTTACAGACCTCTGAGGGAATTAAAATTGGAGCCTTTGAAGAATACTTCTCTAGCAGCTAAGTGATAAGGACGTAAAGCTCAAAGGCTCTGTATTGGCGCAGACCAGAGGCTAACCAACCCAGGATGCTGTCCAATAGCATCAGATGCCCACGGAAGAACACAACAGTACACTGTTACACTACACAAGTACACCCCCAGAAAGTGCACTGGTTTTAAGTCATTCTTGTACTAAGAAAAAAAAAAAATCATTTTACACTTTCATTAGCCTTGCAACTCTCACACGAATCTTACCTAGTCCTAACACATCCTCCTTTGACTGGGGATGAGACTTATGCTCTGTGAATCAAGTTTGTTAGCCTGCTGAAAATACAGTTTTCTCTTTTGTTCTCTATTTCTTTCCCTGTAAGTCAGAGATTTTTTTTGATTTTTTTTTTTTGACTACAGATGTTTTTTTAGGCAGATGTTTTCATAGATCTGTTATAGTTCCAAGACCATTCTGGAGGGATAATATCCGAGTCTGAGTATGGGGCTCCATATTAGGTTTTCCCCACCCACAAGCATTACTTTGCCTTCATCAGCATTGACTACTTGCCAAAACAGTTGACACCTAGAATGCAGGCATGTCTTGCTGCATCTTAAGATTATCTATTAAATATCAGTGTCATCCATGTCACACTTTTCAACTGGCTTAAAATAACCTAAGTTTCATGTGATTTTTTTTTTAATCAAAAACCTTCCGATTTTGTTAGAACAGACTCAAAGTAATAAAGCCAGACTGACAGCTACTCCTTGAGGAAGCTTTATAACCTTTGCCCAAGAGCTGTGATGTAACTTTCACAAGTCAAGATATACTTCTGTTCCTCCTTGCAACCAACTCTGCAGAAGTTGTCAGACTGACTACTAATCTGTCTGGTACCCTACAGAAAAAGTTAAAGCATGACTGACTGATGAAAAGAAAGCTTTGCACTTGCTTTCTCAAATGCTCTACCACTAAATGTAGAGCAAAACATCTCTCCATATAACCTACAGAGTAATATGAATGATTTAATAATATCTGGCCTTGTCAGATGAGTAAAAGGGACCTTTGAATTAGCCATACTACCACACTGAGACAGTTAGCTGACGTAAGTTGCAGTTACAAGAGATATCATTTCACCCCTTATGTTGCAACAGTCAATGACTTAATTTTGGGCACAACCGGGCAGATTTTGTTCCAAACTTCTGCCAATGGCCTTTTCTCTCGTTTCTCCAGTATCACCACATTTTTAAAGCAATAATCTTGTAGACACAAGACAACAAAGAGGAGTACGGGTAGGCCATTCCACAGTTGTAACAAAAGTATTGCATTCAAGCACAGCAACCATTCCACTGCCCATGCCAGAAGCCTTCTCAACCCTCCAAAGCAAGTCCAGCTCCACTAACTCCCTTCTCAAGAGGGCCACCTACAGAAATGGGTGGTCTTGGCAGGAATTACGCAACTTAAGGCATAGAAGAGAGTGATGTGTGTCAAGAAAGGACTCCTTATCAGTTGCTTCCTATCGTATCTAGCAGCAAAAGCACCAACTGGATTATCTGGGTAAACCAGTAACTGTTGTAACTCAATGACGAATGCGTGTAAAACCTTGAACCAGCACCTACCCAATGAGCAGACAGAAGAATATTACACAAAAAGAGTGTGTCCTCATTCTGCATAACCATAACAGATTTAATGTACAGTTGGATACCCTATGTGCAGAGCTTAACTTACAAGTTAGAGCAATTTCACTGAATCTAACATAGGTATTATTTTGAGGCCTACCAAGCTTAGGGTTAACACTTCAACTTGTTCATTAACATTGTGTAAATTCCTAGTGTTGACAGACCACAACGAGGCTTTCACATGCTAGAACATGTAATTACAAATTCCACTGTTACACCACTACCATTTTTTTATCAGAGGGACAACAAAGGAAAAAATACAACGCATATTCTTTGGGGAGGAGAAGGACAATAAAATCCAACTCCTTTTACTTCAGCCACTGTTCATTTTCATCATGCAGAGCAGTGGTGCCATCCTTTAAGCTATTCAGCTTCAGGAAGACAGGTGGCAGAAATATTTAATCATCCACAGTCTTTGAAAACTTACAAACTTATTGGCAAAATTTAAAACCTTTCAAAATATATGAACCATACACTTCATCTACTGTTATTCATTATGAATCTCAATCCCATAATCAAATTTAAAAAAATTTCAACTTTAATTGCATAATTGCAGCATCTGAGAACATTTATGCAAATATTATTTTGTCTATTTTGAAGCCAGTTAATATACCCAGCTCAGATTCTCACAGTATTCTTGAAAAGACTGTTGCATTTGAAAGCATGGGTTCTTTAAGATCCTATGCAAATATTCCTTTACACCACTGATCTCACAGACAGAATTCAACAGGACTGCCATTAGGTACTCAATGTAATTAGTCTATTTTTTCTGATATAGAAAGTTGATTTGTTACTTAATACCTAAAATTATTACAACATTTTCAGGAGGAGGATTTTCAAAGGTGACCCTACTGGCATAACAGTTTTGACAAGAACCTTGTTCTTTTAATATACCTATACATTACATAGGGGAAAAAATAAGGTAGCCCATCAACTACTGATGGGCCATGGAGATGAGAAATAAACTCCCTCAGTTCCCTTTATTTTTTCTAGTCAGCCTCTGGCCAGAGGACATGCCACTAGTTCCAGAGACCTGTCACACCCCGCAAACTGATGAGCTATGAAGCAGTAAATCTGGTGTTGTCAGCTGTACGTGGGCTGCCTTACTGTCAGAGCTGGTCACATCCTTGGACACGCATACTGCAGGATGTGTGGTGTCAACAACAGGTTCATGGAAACACCTTCTGCCTGCAAAGGTAGCCACAACTCGTCATCACACAGCTGTAGAATGTGATCACAGCACCAGTGATAGTTGTCACCTGGGCAGCAGATATCTGTGTACTTTGGTCCGCGTTTGGTGTGAACATTTGCTGCAGTAACCTGTCAAGTTAATGACTTGCTGTAACTCAGTGTTTCTCAAGAACAGTAAAGAAAACCAACACAGACAGTGGCACATCTCATGACAAGAAAGAGCCACCACATTAGATTGCTTATGGTTGACACTGATTGTAAAAAGCAAAGAAATTACAGGAAACTACAGAGATTAAAACACTATGGACCAAAAGTCACAATGAAGAGCAGCAGCAAGACTGAGGCTGTAAGAGGAAGTTCAGCCACCTCAGTATACACCAGAACAGAAATAACAGAAAGCATTTCAAGACCCATTGGGATGGTTCCTGTAGTGTTCATGTACAGCTGACAACTGCTTGTGGTGCAAAAATCAAAGACTCATAACAGAACTTTGGTTGAATGTGAACTCTGTAGGTCTTCCAGTCCAACTTCCTGCTCACAGCAAGGGTAAAGGGGTAATTGAAAGTTCGAGTTCCTCAAGGTCCTGTTCAGTTATGTTTAAAGGCTGCAGATCACCTCTGGGGAGCCGGTTCAATGCTTAATGACTCCCATTTTAGTGCCTCTAAAAATGCAACTAAGTTTAATGTATTCTACTAATGGTTGAATATTGTTCCGTTATGTTACATGTTAACAGGACTACTGAAGATACACTAGCATTGATTTTCCATCTTTTTTCTCTTTTAAGAGTCACTGTTTTTCCAATAACAGTGCAGAACCCTGCACATGTACATAATTTAATCACATGTGATAGGCTTGCTTTTCTAAGTAATACTTCCCAGCCCCTGGAAGTATCTTACAAATAAAACTGGGGGAAAAGAGACCTTGCGCTGCAATGTAAGTATACAAGTAGTGGCAGTTGTTTCCAAGCAGAGTAACCTCTTGGGGGAAAAAAAAAAAATCATGCTGATACAGTGCCTGTAGCTTCTTCAGGAAGTCAGTTTGAAGACTTTCAGCTTGCAAATCACAGTGAACACAATTAGCTACTTCAAGATTTCTGGGGGGAAAAAAAAGCTATAGAATAGTTGGGTAAAATCCAAACCATGTAAGAACAGAAATCAGTATTTCTTCTATCTTTTCCTTAAAGTAAGTATCTGGAAAAGTTGTCCTGATCAATACTACAGCTGATGAGAAGGTACCTACTGCAGTGGCAATCCTTATTATGGCTAAGCCAACATGCTGAAGCCCAACCAGGTGATGCTGGGTGCTCCTGGGTCACTCATTTCTTGCTTGTTACAACACCAGGAATATAGCCTGGAGTTTGCTTCTAGGGTGATCCTTCAAGAGTAAGGGGTTTTTGCTATTCATTGACATTGAAACAGTGGTAAGAGTCTTC